GAGCCGAGCCCGCCCGGGGCGGCTGGGAGAGATCAGCCTCGTCCCTCCAAGCTGCCGTGCCGTGCCCGACCTCGCCGGCGCAGCCCGAGATGTGGACGCGGACGCTCGGAGCAGCTTCCCGAGACGTCGGGCAGGCAGCGCAGCGCAGCGCAGCGCAGCGCTTCGTGGGAAGCTGCGTCCCCGCGAGCGCGCAGACGGGGCGGGTGGCGCTCCAGTGCCAGCACCAGACCGTGGCTCACGGAGCTGGACGTTGGTCTCCGACACCACGTGAGACAGCGAGCGTCGGTGCATCGCCAGCGCTTTCTTCCCAGGAAGATGCTTGCACGCTTCTCCCCCCACAGAGAAGAGGAGCAGCTTGAGCTCTATCCAGGAGCCGCGGGCAGCTTTCTCTCTGTGCCTCCGTCCAGTTTCTCGGCGTCCTCGTGGAAACGCGGGCTGCGGGGGGATCGCGGTAACGTGGCTCGGTCCGGGTCCGGCAAAGCCGGTTGTAGAGGTGAGCAGAGACCTAGAAGGACACAGTCACGTGTGAGCGGTCACGATCCCACGGACAGGGAGGCACGAGGATGACAAACCAAGGACTCCTCGAAAGGACGAACGTGGATCGACTTGGAGAGATAATAAGGTCACGTGGACGAGGGAGCTGGGGCCCGGGCGGCTGGCAGCTCCTAAAGGACGTGGCATCGGAGTCTCAACCGGCTGTCCCACCGCCACGTGGGGTAGGAAGGACACAGGAGGCTGCGCAGGGACCTGCTTCATAGACCCACGTAGGGCCCGGAAGGGAGATGAGTCGCAGGGGAAGCATGACCAGGGGCAGCAGCGACCGGGAGAGCCAGGGCAAAGCCTCTGACAGGCCTGGGGAGGGATGTTCTGGCCAGCGAGAAGGAGCTCCGTTAGCCTGTTGGGGTAGGAGGGTTCGGGGAGGCCCTGGCAGAATCCCCCCAGATGCTGGGGGAGTCCCGCACCTCTGTGAGCAACACTGGCCAAGTCATGGGGGTGCTGGAGAAGGGCCTGGCACTGCCTGGCTTGGAAAAGGGGAGACCACGTGGGCACAGGAGGCTGGCTCCCGGGCACGGCGTGGGAGTCGACTCAGCTTGGGCAAGGGTACGGAGCCTGCCTGTGCTGTGCCCGGGCAGGTACAGGGCAGCATCGACCTGCCTGGGGATGCAGCCAAGGCCTGAAATTGCAGCCAGGCAGAACTCTGTTGGGTAGAGCAGGATCCCCTCCGCGGCCTAGTGGTTAGGGGCAGAAAACCCGGTTCTAGCTGCATGGGTGTGCGAGCCCGTGTCTCCTGCCTCCCAGCTCCGTGCTCTCCCCCTCAGGCAGTAGACTGGGGACCCCTCCAGTCCTCCCCTGGGTGCTGGCTGTTCCCGAGCCATCTGAGAGCAGCTATCACCCTTCGAGGCTTTGCACCTGCCTCTGGTGCCAGCCTTTCGGCTTGCAGGGCCCTGGGCAAAGACTGCCTTGCCAGGGGCCGGCCCGAGCAGAGGGCAGAGGGGCTGGGCTGTTTGAAGCCCTGCAGCCTGCTTGCACCTGATGATACCTCCTGCTGCTGCAAGGCCTCGGAGCCTGTCCCCAGTACAGAGGGGCAGGAGTCTGTACCCATCGCCGCCCCTCTGCATTGCTGCGACTGTATCAGCCAGGGAGCTTTACCAAGCAGTTAAACCTAGTTAGTCTACTACTTGTTGATTTAACTCTCTGATAAATAATTAAGGACCAGGTGCAGACCAGGCCTCAGCTACCCCTTTGGCTCCTGGGACAAGATAACCCAGGCATCAGAGCTGGTGTCACACCCTGACTGCAGGCAGGGACACGGGGCTGCATTTCTTGCAATAAGCGGATGTCATGTCAAGCCACCACGTATCCCTCTGATTCCCGGTGACGATGGTTGAGGTCTGGACCCTGGATTTGGCCCGGTTCAGCGAAGCTTTGCGTGGAGCAAATATCCCATCAGATGTGGTCCGTGATGTGACGATGCAGCTGCGCTGACCCCACAGGACACTGGCATTGCCACAAGCCATGGTGGGCAGGGGAAGGATGGCTTCTTCCCGTGATGGCATCAGTTCACAAGTTGAGCCCTGTTGGGCTGGTCAGCATCGCTTGGGCTGCTCGAGCCACCCCGGGGTGACACCATTCAGCAGGTCCCGGAGCTGGTATGGCCCCTCATGCCCCAGAGGTGCTCTCTTTTCAATGAGCCATCAAGGCAAGATCCTCATTGCCTCTTCTGCTGCTGCGGGGCCGCCCAGGCCGAGTTTCACTGCCCTTTTACATCCCACCCTCCCTGTCTGCACCCCTGGATGTGAGCTCCACCTCCCTCGTGTTCTGTGTTGCTGCCTCTCGCCCCAGAGGCAGCTGCATTGCAGCAGCGGGGGATAGGATCCCAGGAAGGGCAGGGGGAGCTTACAAGTGGACCGAGATGGGTTGGAGAGTGGGGAATGGCTGTTCCCTGTTGTATCCTCCAGCACTGCCCGGGGGATGCTGGCATGCAGGGGCCGCTGCAGGGGAGGGCAGTTGGTGTGGGGCCACAGCCCAGCTCTGACCCATGGTCTTCTCCCTGCCTCCCCCAGGCCATGTGCTGTGTGCGGTGGTGCTGCTGCTCCCGGTGCAGTCCCTGGCGAAGCTGTACCTGCACGTCCTGACACTGCTGCTGCTCTACATGGGGCACCAGACGGCCAGGTGAGCTGTGGGCACTGCCCTCCCCTGCCCACCCCACTGCTGAGGGATGCCGCTGTCTGCTGCCAGGGTCACCCCTGGGCATGCAGTTCTCTGTCGTTCAGCCGTGGGGTGAAGGTTAGGGTTATCACACACATATTCAAAGGGTTTTAAAGACCAAGGGAGGAGCTGCAGAAGGATTTGGCACAATTGAGCAAATGAGCAACTAAATAACAGGTGAAATTTAATGTGGAGGAGCATAAAGTGATGCACCTGGGCAAAAACAACCCAGACTAGACCTACAGTGTGAGGGGCTCAGCAGTGAGCTGTTACCTTACAGGCAGTTCACTGAAAGCACCAGCTCAGGGCTCAGCAGCTGTCAGAAAGGCAAGCAACACATGAGGGAGGATGAAGGAGGGAATGGTGAGCAAAACAAAGGATCCTGATGCCCCTTTATCCGTCTCTGGTGCAGCCACACCTTGAGCACGTTGCCCAGCTCTGGTCCCCGCAGCTCCAAAAGGAGAGAAGAGAACTGGAGACGATGCAGAGAAGGGCAGCAAGGAAGATGGGTGTGCAGGGGCGCCCCTAGGAGGAGACTGCAGAGGCCAGACCTGGGCAGCCTAGATAAGAGACACTGGAGGGGGGACAGGAGATGTGTTTACAACATCCTAAATGGCAGAGAGAAAGTCACTAGGGGTTTATCACTGACCGTCTCTCACCAAACAAGGAGGGGTCACAGCAGGTGAGGAGCAGCTGGCAGTTTAAAACCAGCACCCAGCAGTTTGGTTTCCCCAGCCTGGCATTCATAGATGCTAGGGTCAGAAGGGACCTTAACAAATCATCAAGTCTGACCCCCTGCCTAGGCAGGAAAGAGCACTGGGGTCAGACGATCCCAGCCAGATGCCTATCCAGCCTTCTCTCACAAACCCCCAAGGTAAGGGAGAGCACCACCTCCCTTGGGAGGCCATTCCAAATTTTGGCCACCCTTAGTGGGGGAATGAGGACTGCTGCCCCCAGATGTGAGGGAAGCTAAGAGCTCAGGCAGATTCACCAAGGGGTTGGGCACGTCCTTGGAGGAAAGGCACATTAGTCGCTATTGAGCAGGGAGTGAGGGGCATGGCATCTGCATCAGACCTGTCTGGACCCTCAATGCTGGAGGCTGCAAGGGAGAGGACAGGCAGCAGGACAGGCCCTACGAGGAGAGACTGAGGGACCTGAACCTGTTCGGCCTCAGCAAGAGGAGGCTGAGGGGGGACCTGGTGGCTGCCTACAAACTCATCAGAGGAGATCAACAGCAAATAGGCAGAGCCCTTTTCTCCCCAGCACCACCTGGGGTGACCAGGAACAGTGGTCATAAGCTGATGGAGAATAGGTTTAGGTTAAAGATCAGAAGGCAATATTTTACAGTTAGGGTGGCCAAAATCTGGAACCAACTTCCCAGGGAAGTGGTCCTCACCCCTACCTTGGGCAAATTCAAGAGGAGGTTGGATGCTCACCTGTCTGGGATCTTGTGAACCCAGCATCCATTCCTGCCTGTGGCAGGGGGGCAGGCTAGATGATCTGTTCAGGTCCCTCCTGACCGTAGCTACTATGAAACTATGAGAAACAGGGGAAAACTCTGCTCAGACCCAGTCGCTCTCCCTTCCAGCTGCTGTGGGACATCGGAGACTGGGCACACTGGACCTAGGGTCTGGCCCAGTACGTGGCAGTTCTTATAATCCTATACTCCCCAGGCTCAGAGCTACAGCATCAGCGCAGACTCCTGGCCTCACGCCATGGGTCGTTACCCTGGCTGTGCTCCGTGCAGGGACCCGGCATGGGGCGGTGGTCGGGGTGTCTGGGGCAACAGGCAAATAGGAAATCACAGCAGCAGGCACTTTTGGCTGGGAGGGGACCTGGCCCCGGGGCCAGGTGTTGGTGACCACGGGTGGCTGGGTGGATGCAGACCCCTGCGGTGAAGCCCCCGTCCTTCTGCTTCCAGGGACTATATCCAGCAGGAGATGGAGTACGAGTTCCGCGGGGCTGTGTACCAGGACCCCGTCGCACTCAGCCGCTTCGTCACCACCCTGACAAGTGAGGCGGCCTTGGGGCCCGGCCCCCCATCCCCTCTCCAGCCGTCCCCTCCAGCCCAGGGCGCTTGCAGAAGGGCGTGAAAGAGGGAGAGTGCTGGGGACCTGTCCTGGGAGCAGAGCAGATGCCAAGACCAGAGGTTTCCTACTTCCCTGAGCAGAGGAATGGAGCCCAGGTCCCACTGTCCGGCCGCAGGAGCCCCATGTGGTCTCTGGCCACCCACCAGTCCCTGTTAGAGGCTGCAGTGGCCTGTCCAGGATCTTGCAGCTGAGCTTATATCACTGGACAGCAGGTTTGAGTGGGGGTGGAGAGGAGGATGCCCTGTTCTGGGGCTAGTGCCCATGTAACTAGCCCAGGAAAGTGTGTCCGGACATTGCTTCGCTGAGCTCTCTGCTTGGAAATATCTGGGGGACTGTGGCTGTCACCCTGCCGAGAGCTGCAGAGCAGACAGCAATTATTGGAGTTCCTGCAAGATCTTTCTTGCCCATGCCCCGAGTCCCATCATCCCCAGCTAGTACAGAGAGACAAGGCTGGGGTGGGACACGGCCAGGCTTCTGTCACCCAGGGCCTGCCTACTAGGATCACCAATGTTGCTGCCTTCCTCTTGCCCCTTGGGCAGCGGGTCAGTGTTGACCCACATCCCGCGCAGCACCGTGATCCGCCCAGAGCCAGACGGGGGTCAGTCTGAGCTGAGCCTCCAAGTTCGATTTTTCTCAGCTGAATGGTAGTGAGAAATGATCGCCCTGGTGTGGAAAAGGGGTGTCACCCCTGAGCACCCCACTGGTTCACAGCATGGGTTCAGTCCCCAGTTGTGGCCTGTTTGCACTGGTGAACCAGGGTGCAGTTGGAGATCAAGAAACACTGCTTCCGGGATAGAACAGGGAGGCCATGGAAGAGACGCCAGGGAAGGGGGGGACTCTCCCATCACTGGAGCGATCAAGGAGAGGCTGGACGGGCACTGGGCCGGAACGATCTAGGCGCAGCGATGCCTGTGCTCTGCTGTGGGGATGTCCCAGGCTTCTTGCTCCCCGCCCCCCCCGCTTTCAGCTCCATGTGTCAGGGTTTTAAGCCTCCCCCCAGAGGTGCTGGTGCTGCTGCAGCCCGGGATGGGGATGGGGCTGGGCTGTGCCAATGCTCCTGCTGGCACCAACCCCGCAGGGTCCTGGCTGGAGGGTCTTGCCCCCGCGCTCAGGCTCATACCAACACTGCACTGGGAGCAGAAAGGGATTTCACCCTGCTCAGACTGGTCCGGACTGGGGGAGGGATTTGCCTTCCTCTGCAGTGGGGGTGTGGCCTGGGCTCTCTGCAGCATCCATGACCCCCCCTCCACCCCCCGGCAGCAGCAGGACGTTGGAGGCTGTGGCCCCCCTGCTTTCCTGGGGGCGGGGGAGATGCCTGGGGCTGTATCAGGGGACACTGTGGTTTTGCTCAGAGGTCAGACACAGGGTTTGTCTGGGCTGGTTTGGATGGGGCTGTTCCTGCCTCGGGCAGGGCTTGGACTGGATGTGACCCAGCAGGTCCCTGCCAGCCCCATGGCTCTTGGATTTCTATGCCACTGTAACAACCACTGCCACTGTCATCCTGAAAATGTCACCCTCCTCCACCCTGCAAGCTGTGCAGGGGTCAGGACAGTGCAGTCTGTCTGAACAGCACGATGCCTCTGTGGCCCGTGGGCCCGTGCTGTCACGCACCCCCAAGTGTGTTGGATGAGCTTTTTGCATGTCACATTTCAGTTGCAAGTGGAGGTTCGAGTGCTTGGACAAAACTCTCACTGGCCCCGTTGACTTATGCTGGGGATCAGGAGGCATTGCTTTCTGACTGACCCTTCAGAGCTACAAAGAGAACCCAGGAGTCCTGGGTGAGCTCAGCTCATCTGCTGCAACCGTCTCTGATGCTAGAAGCAGCTGGTGCTGAGGGGAGCTACAGGTGTTGGGAGGAGGCCAACAGGGTCAAGCCTGCCATGCTGAGCCTCACCTCCTCTCCCTTTCCCTTCACAGGCCAGGTCATTGCGTGTGCTCTGTGCTGCCTGCTGACGCGGACGCGGCAGGCATGGCTCTTCTCAGCCCCGCTGCTGCCTCTGCTGGCCCGGCTCAGCGGCCTGCCCCTCCATGCCCTGCCCATGGCCAGCATCTTCGCCATGGCCCTCACCACCCTCCAGGTGCTCTACGTCATGGCTTCCCACATCCTCGTGCCCTTCCGCCTGGCTGCCGCAGCCTGCAGAGAGGTGGCACAGGTGAGAGCCAGTGCACGGGGTCGGGGGGGGGTGAGTTAACCCAGGAAGGGGGGTCAGGGAACTGCTGAGCCAGGCCTGGAAAAGGGGCACGGGACTCCAGAGGGGGTCTGGCCCTCAGTGGGGTCTGACTGGGTGAGGGCCAGGGGTGGTGATAGGGTTTGGGACCCAGAGGAGCTATCTGGTGCCCTGGCTCTCGCCTACTTCAATCTGGAAGAGCTGGAAGGACCCTGCCAGGGGCCTGCCAACCTGGTCCCCAGCCCAGGTGTGCTGGTGCCAGCTCATGGAGTGCCCCGTCTCTCCTAGGTCCTGGAGCCGTACCAGCTGATGGTGCTAGGCATGGGCCTCTGGAGTCGGCTGGCCATGCCCATGCTCTTCCTCATCTTCTGGCTGGTTCTCTTCGCCCTGCAGCTGTACTCGGCCCTGGCCTCCAGCGGCCCCCCCACCCAGCCAGGGCTCATCTTCATCTTCCTCAGCAGGTAGGAGGGGGCTGCGCCCAGGTGTAGGGCCCCAGTCAGGTGGGCGACATGGGAGGGAAGCTCTGCTCAAGGGGTCTCTGACTGTGGCCAGGCCACACAGCAAAGCGTGTCATACCCATGATGTGGGCTCTGCCCCCAACCCTGCAGAGGCATGACTAAGGCACCCATGAGCTCGGGGCACAGGCACCCACTCCAGGACATGGCATAGATGCCCAGAGGCCTGCCAGGACTTTCCCGTGGTCTGCAGTGGACCCTGGCAGGTTGGGGGTCCCCCACTCTCTTCTGCCCCTCCCCAGGGGACTGTGGAGGCCATGCTCACACCCTGCCATGTGTGTTCTCAGTGTGGCCGAGTGCTGTAACACACCCTACTCCCTGCTGGGCCTGACCTTCACCGTCTCCTACCTGGCCCTGGGCATGCTGAACCTCTGCAAGTTCTACCTGGGCGGCTACGGCGGCTTCCAGAATGGCAATGTCATGCACAGGTGAGGGACGGCATGGCACCGGGGTTGGGGTTGAGCCCCGGTCATCTACTCCCCAGCAAGAGAGCCTGGCTGGCCAGAGCATGCCCAGCTCTGGGACAGGGGTGTCCAGCTGGCTCTGCCCCTAGTGCCAGGTCCTAGCATCTGGGTGAGAAGATGCCACCTCCACCTGCTTCTCCAGGGATGTGGGTGAAAGAGACTCGTGAGTCAAGGTGGCCACCATGGGCCATGGGTTCTTCACAAGGCCCCAGTGCTGTGAGCGTGGGTCTCGGGGCATTGCTGCCCTTGCCAAGGATGTGCCCTGGCCCATTGGCTTCAGGCGAGGGACCCTGGGCTGGGATTTGAGCCGGTTTCCAGCTGGTAGGGGACGGGCTGTGGGGCCACATGAGGGACTCTGCAGCCGCCAGGTTGGCCCACCACAGTGCCCATCTGATCCCTTTGCCTTGCCCGCCTCACAGGGGTGTGACAGAGGGTGTGATACTGCTGCTGCTGGCTCTGCAGACAGGGGTGCTGGACCTGCAGATCCTGCAGAGGACCTTCCTCCTCAGCCTCATCCTCTTCATCGTGGTCACCTCCACCCTGCAGTCCATGATCGAGATCACCAACCCCATTGTGCTGGCGCTGGGGGCTTCGCGGAACAGGTAACGCCCAGCCTCTCCCTCCCAGCAGAAGGGGCACCCCACGGCACGGGGCCACATCACAGCACGGGGCTCCCGCACTTCCAGGGATCTGCCTGTCTGGAGCAGGGCACGGGGGAGTGTTCCTGCCCCCGCCAGTCTGCTAGGCTTTGCAGCCCTGTCTTGGGTGTCCCAGCTGCTCTCCCAAGAGGGTGAGCTTGAGACACCCTCCTATCACATCTGCCCTGGAGCGGCTCTGGAAGACGCAGAGCCTACACCTATCTGAACCCCCTCCTCGAGGAGCTGGGGCCAAGACAGCAGCCGGCTTCGGGAGCGGCATGGCCCATTTGCCTAGTATGCCCACGCCCTCTTGCAGCTAGGCACCCTGATCAGGCCTTGGAGGCCCTTTCCCATTGGCCCGGTGCCTCGGTCACCCGCTGCTTTCTGCCCATGGTGGGAGAAAACCTGCTGGCTCACAGCGGGACCTGGGAGGAGAACACCCAAGCCCCGCTGGCTGGGCCGTGGGGCAATGAGCCGTCCACTGTCCCTGCAGGAGCCCATGGAAACACTTCCGTGGCGTCACCATGTGCCTCTTCTTGCTGATCTTCCCCTGCCTCATGGCCTACAAGATCGTCTGCTTCTTCCACATGAACTTCTGGCTGGTCATCCTGGTCTCCAGCTGCATGCTCACCTCTCTGCAGGTATGGCGTGGCCCTCCTGGGTGGCTGGGCCCCAGGCCGGGACATCCCTCTGCAGATAAGACGGGTCCCTGCCCTTGTCCCAGTCCCCAGATTCCTGCTTCCCTCCCCACAGGTGGCTGGAGACTTTGCTCCCCCCCTGCAAGCACGACAGGGTCCCCTCTCTGCACCAGATGCCCCATTCTCCTGTGCTTTCCTACCTGGTCCTTCTAAAGAGGCCTTGGCCGACCATGGCCCCGGCTCCCTGGGGCACTGCCTGCCCCCCTCCCACCTCCTCATGCTTTGCACCTTTCTGCAGCTCCCTGCAACCGCCGGCACAAAGCTTTGCCGAGAGTCACAGGGAGCTTGGGTAGCGGGCACCCACATCCAGCAGCCCTCATGGCCTGGTCACATCCCCCTTCCCCTCCCTAGGTGATGGGCACACTGTTCCTCTACGCCCTGTTCATGATCGAGCTGCTGCAGGAGGAGCCGCTGGAGCGGATGGACGAGGTGATCTATGCAGTGAATGCGGTGAGCCGTGTGCTGGAGTTCCTGGTGGCCATGTGTGTGGTGGGCTACGGCACCTGGGAGCTGCTCTTTGGTGAATGGAGCTGGGTGGGTGCCTCCGTCATCGTCGTCGACTCCTACTTCAACATCTGGCTCCGGGCCCAGTCAGGCTGGAAGAGCTTCCTGCTGCGCCACGAGGCTGCCAAGAAGATCAGCTTGCTGCCGCGAGCCACGCAGGGGCAGCTGCAGGACCACAATGATGTGTGCGCCATCTGCTTCCAGGTGATTCTCCCCCTGCTCCAGCCGTGGCCTCCCTGTCTTTCTGCCCTGGGGGAATGCCAGCAGCTCCAACCCCTGCCAGCCTGACCTGGTTCTGCTGCCACCCGCCCAGCTGGGGGACCTAACAGGGAGATGCATGCTCCTGCTCCCAACCTGGAGAGGGGACAGGAGAGGTCTCCCCATGCAGATTAGAAGCCCCTCTCCGCCTATGTGCAGCCTGTGGATGGGCCCTAAACCCCACTCAGTTCTGCAGCTTCCTGCTCACATTGCAGCCTGACACCAGGCCTTCACACTGCCCTCTGTGCCCCCTACTACCCCAGGGAGCCGTGTGGAGAGATCAGGGTGTTGCCGCCAGAGATGCCTCGGTGTCACTTCTCAGGCACAGGCTCTCTGCAGACTCAGGCACATGCTGCAGCATTGGCTCCGCTCAGGCCCCATCGGGGAGGTTTGCTCCACCCCCAGGAGTCCTGGATGCCTGCCCAGTTGGGCACTGGGAGTCCAGACAGGCCCTGGGTACCAGCCCCCCCATTCCCATGGGGTGGGAGCAGACAGCAAGGGGGGTTTCCAGCCCTTCCAGCCACCCAGCAAAACCTGGAGAGCAGCCCATAAGCGCGGCATGGCGGCTTCCTCCTGAGCTTGCAAAGGGCTGCAGCAGTGAGCCCAGGTGTCTGTGGGGTGGGGAGGCTGGCAGGGACCCTCGGACCCAGCCTGCAGTGACACAGGCACCCCATCACCCAGGAAGGTCACCAGCTGTGACCACTGGTGGGGGGAAGGGACCTTGGCTGTGCTCCCCACAGAGAGCCTGGCCCAGCGTGGCAGGGTCTGTGCTATGCCAGTCAGTGTAATGCTGCGGGTACCATGTATCTCCTGCCAGCCTGGTGAGGTCTCCCCAGCTGGAGCTCTCCCCTGAACCCCCTTCTCTCTCCCCCAGGGGATGCACATGGCCGTCATCACCCCCTGCGGCCACTTCTTCCATGACAGCTGCCTCCGCAAGTGGCTGTATGTGCAGGACACCTGCCCCATGTGCCACCAGCAGGTGAAGCCCCCAGTCACCCAGGACCCGCTGCCTGACCGCCCGGAGCAGGACTCTGGGGCAGAGGAGGCAGCAGCACCACCCCCAGGGCAGGGGAAAGGAGACGACCAGGCCACTGCTAGCCCAGCCCCAGGTGCTGGCCAGGCAGCAGAGGGCACAGAGTCTTGCTGGCTGGAGCAGAGGGAGCCTGTGTCGGCCAAGCTTGGAGCAGGGCATCAGCCCATGGACCAAGCCGGGAGCAGGATTACATCACCGAAGCAGGGCAGCACCCCACAGCCAGATGCCAGTGCTGTCATGTCAGGACCAGACCACTTCAGGGAGCCCAGCCCGGTACCTCCGGAGGCCGTGTCCAGTGGGGCAGAGACCTCAGAGCAGAGCACAGACAGCAGCCTCAAATCCCCTGCCAGCTGTGACCACAAAGCCAGGGACAGTGTGGGCTCTGATGCCCCCTCCTAGCACCATTCTCACAATAAAAGAGCCCTGGGAGCCTGTAGGCAAAGCCTTCTCACGTGCCCACCAGGCCCACCCAAAGGCACAGGTGCCAGGAGAAGCCAGGGCTGGGCAGGGGCAGAGCTGCCCTCCGGACCCGCAGAACCAGCCGCAACGTCCCCCGCTCCCCACTCGCTGTGGGTGTGAGCACCCCCGGCTGGATGGGGCATCGCAGCCAGAAGCCGCCGGCAGCCACCCCTACCCGCCAGCACCAGTGGGAGCCAGCAGCAGGTGCCACCACAAGCTTGTCTGGATGGGCATGTCTCCCCTACCCAGGGCGCCGGAGCCCAAGGAGAGGTTCCCAGCTGAGCTGGGGGCAGGCTCCGGCATGAGCACGCTCACCTCGAGAGGTATCATTCCTCCTGGCTCAGGTGCCTAGTTTGACATCAGCTGCCGCGACCCACCCCAGCCGTGGCCACGTGGCAGGTCAAGGCCAGCGGGTCCCTCTGTGGGGGCTGCAGTCCCTCCTCCCTCCCATGTATTTATATCCCGCAGGGCTTTGTGTGGCAGACACCCCCCCGCTGCGGGCCCCGGGGGAACGCAATTACGCCGTGGTGGAAGGCGCCTTGATTTGCAAAGCCTCAGGGATTAGCAATTAGCAGGGACCCGCGGTTGCACTGCGGAGACAGGCAGGCAGCGGGGCAGGGACAAAGCAGGCTGGGCGGGGACCGTGCTAGGGTCTGAGGGCACGGGACTGGCAGGGACAAGCGGTGCGCCGTGGGGGTGCTCACGTTGACAACTCAAGTGCAATTAAACTTCAGAACCAGGCCGTGGGCTCTTGGATCATGTGTTGGGCTCTGCGCTGGGCCACGTGTCTGTGGCAGGTGCCCCCTGCCTGGTGTCAGCTGGGCCCAGAAGCATGTGGCATCCAGCACGGCACATGTGGAGGAGGCAGTCGGGCTGGGGCCGGGCCCCTCGACTTGGCCACAGTGCCCTGCTCCAGCTGGGCAGCACCTGCCCACCTCCTCCAGGCAGGGCTCTGCCCTCCTCAGGGCCAGCCCCTGCTTCCCACGGGGCAGCGGGACCCAGCCTGATCCTTCCCGTGTGGAAGCAGAGCCGTGGCACTGCCATGCCTGGGTAGAGATGCTCAGGAGCCCAGGCGAAGGCACTGCTCTCCTGGCTCGGGGCTGGGTTGCGATGGGCCCATCCAGGCCCCACTGTTAACCCGGGCACTGGGACGTCTGCCTCAGCCTGTGGCTGCTCCAGTCTCGCGCCTCTGCGCTGCCCTTGGGCAGGCGCTTGCACCGGCTGCCCAGGGCATCTCTCTGAGCATCCTCAGGCCCCACCAGGGCAAAGAGGCCCCTGTCGGCCCGGGCACAGCACGCGGGGCTAGCCAAGCTCAGGGTTGTGCTCCCTGGCAGCTCTGGGGCTCTGTTCCAGGCCCCCCAGCCCCATTTAGTGGGGACATTGTGCTTGCCCAGCTGGGTGTTGGGGGCGCCAGGCTGCAGGGAGCTGCCCCCCACCCCCACCCCACAGCTGTGCCAGCAGCACCCGCCAGGCCCATTAGAGTTGCAGGGGGAGGGAGCAGCCCCCCTGGAGCCTCAGTCATCCCTGGGGACTGAGTAAATGGGCCCCCCCCACCCGGTTCCGGCTGCCTCTGCCCGCCCAGGCACTTAGCAGCACCGTGATGGCAGGCGCCCAGCTGGGCCTGCGCAGCCATTAGCTATGGGGGGGGGCATCCGCCCATCACGCCTACAGAGGGGTGGGGGGAGGAAGGAGTCCCCAGCACCACCAGACAAGGCAGGTATAGCCAAGGGAGGCTTTTGCCCCCCGCCGCAAAGCCTGTGTCTATCTGTCCGTGCTCCCCTGTGGAGTGCCCCCAGTCCCGAGCATCACAGAGCTGGCGAGCCTGGGCCTGAGCCCCTTTGCTGGCTCTGGGGGGTGGTCCCAGCCTGCCCCCTCCATGCACCCTGCCCAGCCAGCTCCACGCGCAGCTTTCCATTAGGGCGGGTGACGTCAGCGCAGGGAACTGGGGTCCCCAGGGACTGTGCGGGAGCCAGATCCTGCTAATGGGGGTAGAGAGCTTGGGGGCAGCCGACAGAGACCCCCCTCCAGCCTGGTGTTGCTTTCTGAGCACCAGGGGAGCCTGCCAGCTGGCCCCACACACACTGGGAGGTCCGCCTGAGACCCCCATCTGCACGCATCCAGCGAGGCCTCCCTGCCACCAGCTCCGGGGCCTGCAGCTGGGGCAAGCTCCCGGGTCTGTAGAGGCGTGGAGCTTCCCCCCAGGATCGGAGCAGACAAATGAGCCGTCTCGGGGCTGCGGCAGAGCCTTGCCCAGCGCCAGGGAGTTGCAGGAGGGAAGGGGGTCCATGCCCCAGGCAGTTGCCCCTTGGTCCGTGACCTCCCCCCGGGTGGGGGCAGCATTAAGCCAGGGGCTCCTTGGCTTAAATCCCAGCTGCGGGGCCCTGGGAGCATCCTGCCCGGGCACGGTGGCATCGGCAGCACCCTGGGTCTTTCCATTAAATGCCCCAGCTCAGGGCCCGTCGGGTGAGGGGGGAGCCTGCAGGCTGCAGAGCAGAGCTGAGGGCTGCTGGACCTTACCAGCTGCCATGAGGTGGGGGGCACAGCCTCTTCCCGGGACCCCCAGTGCAAATCTCAGCCAGCTCTGTCCTGCCCTGACCCTGGCAGGGCCCCGGCTTTGCCTGGGGCCACGGGAGGGTGTTGGCTGTGCCGGGCACTGGACCTGGCTGCTGGGTGCCAGGGGCACCTCTGCGGAGGTAAGCCGTGTCCGGGATGCTGCGTCCAGTTGAGTTGCACGCCCATGGCACCAAGCAGCTTGCCCCAGTCAGCCTCCGCAGCCCCAGGGTCCCTGGAGAGTCGGGCCAGAGGGGATTTGCTCCAGGCCGGCCTGGACCCGACCCTGCCAGCAGAGGGGCCGACCCAGGATGGAGACTCCACCGCGTCTCCAGGGCCCGGTCCAGTGCTTGACCCCCCTCAGAGCCAGCATCTTGCTCATCCCCAGCCTCAGTTTCCCCTGCTGCAGCTAGAGGCCATTGCTCCTAGTCCAGTCCCCTGCGGCCACAGAGGAAAGCCGGTCTCCAGCCTCTCTGCCAGCGCCCTGCAGGGACCTGCCGCCTGTGAACAAACTCCCTGTCTTCTCTCCTCCAGACTCAGTCCCCCCAGCTCCTTCACCCTGCGCTCATCTCTTGTCTCCCAGGCCCTGACCATTTGGGTTGCTCTGCGCTGGGCTCTTCCCAACCTGCCCATGTCCTGGAAGGGCCGGGCCCAGACCTGGGCCCCCGACTCCGGGGGAGGGTTCCCCAGGGCTGCTGAAGCAGGAGACCTGCTGCCCTGGGTTGCAAGGGATGCTCCTGTCGGTACCGGCCGGTCTGTTTGCACCACAGACCCCAAGCCGAGACCCCCGGGCTCGAGACACGCCAGCTCCTGCCAGGCCTGATAGGGGCTGAGACCCGCTGTGGGTCGCGGGGCAGCCTCCAGCCTCAGGAGCTGCAGCCTGTAGGGTCCTTCTCCCCGCCCCCCATCCCTGCCCCAAAGTCCCCACCCCACTCCGCAGCCCGGGTCATTTTCTGGGCCAAGTAGAGGGTTCAAACCCACAGCAGGGTGGGGGGCAGGGTGGCTGGGGGTGTGCACAGGTCGGGGTGCAGGGCTCCTCCAGGCCAGGGCATGGGTGGGGGGTCCCTACCCAGGCAGGGGGCTGCACTGGGGCTTTGGAGGG